GGGTACCAGTTCATCTTATTGTAGCAAACTGTTTTACAACACTCTTTTCACGCTTACCTGACAGACGTAGCTAAAATTCTGTTCATATTCAGTATGTCCAGAATTACACAAATGATAGGTTAAAAGTATTTTAAGCACATGTAAATATGTCCTTGGGTGACGTGCATGTTGGAAATGTATCACTGATCCATGCTTTTGTCATAAACATCCCAAACAAAACTTTTTGTGTGAAGACATACATTTTGGGGTGGTGTGATATCCAGTGTTATGTTAATTTGGTACTACTTTGCATGTATCGGTCCAATGTCAAAGATGTCTGAAAATAATGGTTGGTATCTTTTGGTCAGGGAACCAGACTAGCAGTTGCTCTGCATTTTGCACTTGAACATACATGTAATGTCTGAATTGATAGCATACAGTGCAGGGTATCTCACGCTTGAAATTTACTCAACCAAGCGGTATTTTATGACACTTGCTGGATGGAGAACATGACTTGGCAACAGCAGCAAAGCAGCAGTTTTGGTGGCATAATTTCAGTGGACCAAATCTGCTTTCCAGTGGGCATAGAGAACGGCAAAGGTTCATCTCCTTACACATGAATGATCCCAAACAAATGTACCCGCACTACAGTCACTGGGTATTTCTTGTACATGGATTTCTTACTTGTAACCTGTTCTCAACAGACACATCACTCGTGTAAGAACGGTATACAAGTGTTCCTCAGTACAGTTGATTTCCTTATTTTCTGCTTCCCACGTACATCTATGCCTCAACAAACTGTAAGCACTATACAGAATCCTGTGCAGTAGAGAATTTCCTTTTTTCAAGCACCATTCTAACAAGCTCTCCATAAACTTGTCGTACCCCATTCACAATTTCAGCAACTGACCCATGGCACTCGAGAAATAACATCAAGTCTTTGAGACAGCGTTTAGCAAGAAGTACATTTATTATGCTTGTAGAAAATACTTCCTGTACATCATACTTTTGAGAGTATCTTTTTAAATAGTGAGCAGAAATTTAACTACCAAATTGCATGTTTCAAATGTAAGTGACGATGATAAAATACACCTAATCACAGTCAGGGAAGAGTTTTGAATACTGGAAAGTTTCATATACAGACACTGCTCTGAACCAGCAGTTTCAACAACATAAGTTCGAAAAACTAATAGCAATCGGCATTTTGAATTCCATATTGGAAATGCTTTGACATGACACCTGTTTAAAAATGTACAGATCCAAATATCAGTTTGGTCTCCTCCTGGGCTCCGTCTCTGATATCGAAACCACTTGTAAGCTCACCATATGTGACCTCCCAAAATCAACATGCAATGGATTTGACCTTTCATCTTCTAAATTTGTAAAAATCTATGTTAAATCATTACAGATGAAATTTTTCAAACACCCGTCTAGCCCTGTTTTAGTATCTTCCTGTCGCAAGTGCATGTTGTCATAAATAGTCTCCTTATATGGAAATTGACAAGTGCATGGCATGTACTGAGTGAGATACAACAAGCCAGTGCTTTGTCAATCATTTAAGGCCAGCCACATGACAGGCTTTCGACCAATAGGAATGGCTCAACTCTCTTAGGTATATATGAATACCTTTCTTTCATTTCCACCATTTGGGTGATACACCCAAATATGGACGGCAGAGTTCAAAGGATCGTGACATGACATTCCGAGACAGTGACAGCTGGTTTCATTTACTGGCCCACTTTCCATAGCCTGGCCTGATTCCCTTGGTGTTGATGACGTCAACCACCACTCCATGCTTGAATTGGTTCCATTCACGTTTCATCTCCTGATCAATGTATTCTTCATGGATGTCATCCTGTGACAGAAAAGGTTATAAACCATGTACTTAAAAACGGATCTAGGAAAAAGACTGACATTAGGAAGGGATGGTTCCAGTAAGAGCCCTGAATCAAAGTGGTTTTTCAAAAGATTTTAGCAGCCCAGCTCATTTTAAGCTGGTATAAAAAAAAGGGGAAATTGAAAACAATTTTTCATGACATGTTCCAGAAAGTATGCCTGTGTACCTTTTTACGTATGAAATAAAAGGATCTATACATAACTGACCCATTTGCTTTCATTTTATGATGAGTGTCTTAATTCATATCCAGCTGCTTTGCACATAGTTTATGCAGAGTCTAATTTGTCATGGTCTCAAAAATTTGTGACAGACTCACCTGTGTGAGGTTTCCATACAGTCGCTCGTTTGATTGTCTTAATAGAACCCTGGTTGTCTCATCAAGCTCTGCGTGAACAATAACGAGGGAGAAAAATCACTACAGCAATTGACAGGTTTGTTTCTTGGGTAACCTTAAAACTGCCTAACAAACTTGACCAACAAAACCTGGAGTGACTGAGTTGAGATGTTCTGTTTACACACTCGTTCCCTGCTATTGATTACACGTGACTGCACAAACCTGTTTATTTGACTGGAGACTGGTACAGTACACCAGCCTCACGGTCATTAGGCTAGACACTGTGTGCAATTTCTGACCATATCATATTGCTGCCTGTAGAGGTTCTTTTCAAAATAAGAGCTAAATTCACAAAAGGCAAGGGTCACTGACACTTCAATTATTAGTTTTTTAAGCAATTAAAGTGAAAATGGACAAACAGTTGATAAAAGCTTCAGCAAGATGAGACCCTTTTTTTGCAATGTCACATAATTCTAATTCTCTTCATCCCGATTTCTGCAATCAAGACAGTTGTGCGTGCAATTGCATACAGCTTTTAAATTCAAATGTGTTTTCCAAAGTACACCTGAAGTGTTCGGAATTTGGGGTGTTCCATGCTAGATAAGGTACTATTTACTAACACAAATGACAACCTTTGACCTGAGTGGATACCTTTCAGTCTGTCGGGGGTGATGATACCCAGCTTGATGTCCGAGGCAGTGACGATGGAACAGGTGATTGCCTCCTCGTCCAGCACACTGATCTCACCAAAGCTCTCTGCATCCTTGAGCTTTCCCATGACCACCTGCTTCTGATGCTTCTCCTGTGCAATTTAATGAAAAAAATGTCAAATTACACAATGGACCTTATTCATGAGGAGGCCATTTCTGATTATGCTCCCCAAATCTCTCTTATTCAATGTAATCAGTAAATGTGGTGGTGCCAGACTATTTGGGTTCCATGCCTCAATTTCATTATATTTTCAAATGTTGCTTACAACATTTAGATATAATAAAACCGCAAATTTTAAACTATTCAACATTATAAATGACTTGAAATAATCCGCAATGAACTTTTATTTAATTCCTTTCACTGTTATTCTCTGGTTCCCCAAATAAAAAAAGGTTAACCTCGCTTTCAATTCAATATGGCCAACCGGTGAATAAGGTCAATCGGGATTCTTTCTGGATTTGATCTTTGATCGTGTTCTCTTCCATCAGCCAACAAAATCATAACTTCATTTTCAAACCACCTTTTTTCTTGGTTGCTTTGTGCTGCCTTCCAGTACTTCGGCCTCTTGAACCCTTTTCTGTGATGAACTTTCCTCAGTAAGGAAAACAATGCAGTGTGATTCCACACAGCAATAGTGCATCCAGACAGAACACTGCATGTAATGGACTTTACCAACATACCTGTTTGCCGTTGTGTAGGGTATGGATAACTTCCACTTGTCTCAGGACATGGCAATCCCCGGACTTGATGAAACCAATGAATGGACACAGGTAGCCCTCGCTAACCAACACTGTAATTGAGACAGACAGTAACTATTTCAAATGACAGACTGATAACCGGCATATGACTGTCATAAACTCACCAAAACGCTGCACTTTCACGTTTGGAAATGTAATTTTATTTTTTGAAATGTTGGAGCAAAAGTGCCCTCTCAACAGCAAAAAAAAAATCTGTGTCAGTCTTGAGCTACTTTGGGGGCTCTGATTCCATACACACATATCCTGGTGTGTAATTCCCACAAAAAGCAGACCGCACAGGCTGTTCAGAACACAGCTTGAATTAAGCCAACATCTATTCCAACAAGGCAAGATCAATCGAGATAAAGGCCCATAAGTCAAGCCAGTTCAGATGCCCCGTGCAAACTGTGAGTCAGTGCATGGCAACATTGATAGAGCCATTTTTACACATGCACATGTACCTTAACGGTACAATCTACAATCGTTTTAAAAACTGTTTTTGTCCTTTGTATACTCACTGCCTGAAAACTTGGGCAATGCACAAACGGGCCAAGTTGAGTCTTGAGTCAGTAGCTGTTATACAATTGAGTCACTGGCCAAAAATGAAGTCCGAGCAAAGCCTTGAAGTCTGGATAAACCGTGAACTTCTTCAAGCCTTCTCCACTCCCTATCCTTGGCCAGACTGCATCTTGATCTCTCCTCACCTGTGTTCTCAGGGAACTTGGTCCATTTGATCAACTCAGCTAGTTTATGCAGGGACTGCCGGGGCCACAGCTGGTATGGCTTGCATGCCTGGATCAGGTCGATCTTCTCTGAAATGTGGCGCTCTCGGATTTGCTAGAATATCAAAGGAGATTGAATATTAACCAATGTGCATTTGTGCATCTGTGAGATACTTCGATGAGGTTTTAAAAGTCTATCAACTCCCCTCAGAGAGCTGTCAGTATCACACTATACAAAAATATCTCACTTGCTGATTTCAACACTTTTACCATATGGGCATTTTTCAGAATAAGCAGATATATTTCTGAAAAAAAGCTTTCTTTTAGTCCTTTCACGAAGATGCACGCAGCCTAAAAGTTAATCACCAAAATTTTTCCTGACGTGTAACTCAATTTGTAACAGGTAGACAGGTATTGCACATGCCATTAATCCAGGTCTCAAATTCCACATTTGAATTTGGCAAGGCTAAGTTTCCTTTGAACTGCCACAATTGACCTGTGTTGTAGTCGAGACCATCACAAGACCAGTCACAAGAGCAGTCACAAGGCTAGTCACAAGACCAGTCACAAGTAACAGGGTGAACAATGACAGAGGAATACTTTTGTCACAGTTCATTGGAATAGCTTGTGGCTGTACTTCAGACTCTGGAGATGTTGTATTGGTCTTGTGGGGTCTTGTGATGGTCTGAAGAGGTCTTCACTACAAGACTGCAGTTGACCAGAAAATTCAAACAATGCCAAGAGCATTTTGAAGCCCACATGGTACCGAAATAGTTTCTTTCCTAATGTAGCCGAGCTGTTAATTAAAATGACTTACCTCTGTAATCCTCTTGTAGTCATTGCTGGAAATCTTCAGAAATTCGCAAGGCACAGTCTTGGTGAGAACAGTGAGCACCCTACAAAAAGGGATTACGCACACACAAAAAGATTTCATTATGAAGAGAAGCCCCTCTGTGAAAAAGGATGAAACACAGAGTACTGAACTTTGACATCATTATGAACCAGAAAGTGTAGTGCAAATGAATATAATACGTGCCCGTGTTGGTTCTCGCGCTAATGCCTTACCCACATTGTGCGCGTGATGTATTGACTTTGGTACCCATACCAAATAACTAGTTGCACGTACACTGCTGGTCACTTTCACCACACATATCTATTTCGCAATCCCTGCCAAGCAAGTTGGACACTAGAATTACCAGCTTCTGTACCTACAAGAGTTATTTACCTAGAATACACAGGCAATTCACAACAATGTGCCACCAAGAGGTTGCCACAGAGAGGTCATGTTTCAAGTTTACAGTCCACAAAAGCATGGCTGATTCGCTGTAATTTGCACTGGAACGAATGTCGGTAGACAACTTGAGGAAGTCTCTGATTGATTGGGGCATGCCTAATTGCCCCCCCCCCCAAAAAAAATCTTGATTCATTAACGCCGATAAAAAACCTTTTCGAATCTTCCACCCAAACAAATATCGGGAACAATTCAAGTTCCCCAAGCACAGCACAGCCGGTGAATAAAACCTGATTGTCAACCATTTCAATGCACTGCCAACAAAAGCCTCTCCATGACAACCTCTTAGTGGCATTGTGAACCACCCGTATTGCAATTTGCATTTCTGCGCTCGCTGGGAATACTTTTTTTAACTCTTTTACAAGGGAAAAACTGGAAATAACTGGAACTTATGTGCAATACGGAAGAATAAACAAAATTAATATCCATGGGTTAAAAAAGCCAAGAACAGACAGACAGACAGCACAGTGTTTTCTAAGAACCATTTCTGTTCCAAAAATGTTACTTGGCTTCACAAGAATAACAAAGTCAATGGGGAATTGTTGTTGGATGGTCAACTCACTTGCTATTTGGTTCTTTTCCTTCTAGTCTCTCCAGAGTGCCAAAGCAATCACCAACAGTCAACTGTGACAAACCACAAGAATCCCCAGTTGGACTTCTAACAGGTTCACATGTACTTGTTTAATATTTAGATTGTAAATTTATAATCTATCCATCCTTGTATGGCACATGCGCTGTTGTATGTTATTACTGAAAACTTATCTAAACACAATAAATTCACTGATTAAACTACACGTATCTTCCCTTGATACTTCGTTGGAGGTACGTTTTAATGAGGAAATAAATATGTGCTTGGCTGGTAAACTTGCATTTAAGACAGCTCAGGAGAATGGATGCACCTAATGCCCAAGTTTTCCCTTTGGCATTCAGGACCACCTCCAATTAAGTATACTAGCGACAAGTATAATGCCAGGTAAGGGCCCATTTAACTTTTTGCATCTACCATCAAATGCCAAGGTACTCCAACTTTATTCCCTCCTAACCAGTCCAGTATTTGGCAGAGCTCCTTAGTACTCAAAAAGTACCCACCTTCAACACTGCCATTTACACAGTAAGTGGTATAGAATATTCTATGCAGTAAAAAGTGGTGTATCCTATGGGACAATATACACTGAGAATGTACGATGAACCACTGCAGTTAGAAACCCAAATGATTTTTCAAAGATGCCACACCGAAAGAGCACGCTCTGGCACCCTCCCTCGATCTCATCTGGAATTCAATCAACTTACTAGGGAGTTTCTTTGTGTTGAAGGAACTAAGTATTGATACCCACCTCCTTGAGTTTCTTGTCTGTGTGGACCGTAGTGGTCAGGATGGGAGTTGGACTGCGGAACCTGCCCGGGTTACCCTTGGTCCTGATCCAGGGTTCTGTCTGGGGCACGACCACGCCTCGAAGAATGATGTAGAAACCACCATTTCCAAACACTGAGAATGAAGCCATAAGATGTACAACAGTTTTAAGGAAAATGCCCAGTGGTATGGACATAACCTTATAAAATCCGCTTGTAAGCAAGAAGTTGTCTGGTGAGATAAATACTGTATAAAAGACACTCAGCAATTCTTCTTTCAACATGTACAAGTATCTATATAAATTAAATTGAATTCTATGAGCTGAGGAAAAATTGCTGATGGATAAAATACGGAGAGAAGTACTGAACGAGATACTATGGAAAACATTTTATGAGGTTTGGTTGATCTCTACACTGAAACCTCATGTTTCTATGTACCGTACAAGAGATTGAAAAGATTTTAGAGTAATATGAGATAGTTTTAATGGTATGGCAGTTGTCCGGTGAAGCAATAGGAAAGTGGTTCTTTGCGGTGCTGTAGTGGGGTCCATCTCAAGTCCTTTTGTATAATACAGACCTGTCAAAGTAGCATGTGAACAATAATATTGGAATACTCTGTCACAGTTCTTTGAATAGCTTGTGACGTGTCTTACAACTTGTGATAGATTTACAGGGACTTGTAAGGATTTGAGATGGCACTGACTACAACCCTGGTTTCTATGAAATTGGAACTGTAAAGGGACCAAGCAAAACCTTGAATCTGCACCCTTGCATTTCCATTAATCTCACTTTTGATTTTTGTTTTGCTAGCTGAATTTGTGTTTTGCAGCCATTATGGTATTTATGCCAATGCAAATTTTCATATTCATGAGCAAACTGTGATGCCATCCCAGGCACTAAACTTCCATGTTACATTGATTTGTGAACAAATCAATGTGAACAAATTCGATTTTGCTGCCATAAATTTCAGTTTCTGGTGGAAATTAATAGTTATGAAAGTATATGGCAATAAGCTAGTGAGCAACACTTCCTTGAAAATGCTTTTAAAGAATAAATTTGGCTTTTAGCATTTGAATATCAAAACATGTAAACTGAACAGTGTCTTCCCCGATTTACATCTCAGCAACGGCACCCTCACTTGTATGGAAAATGGTAGACAATTTTAATCTAAAAACAAATTTTTAATACACATAAACCAGAAAAAGTATTTCAAATGGTTTGCAGGATTTAAAGAAGAGCATAAAGATATTTTCAAGATGTATTTTTGCGTCGCGGACATGTTAATTTATATAACTGGTTTTTGCCCTTACCCAACGTATATGTTAATAAACACTGTATGCTCAGTGCTTGTCCAAGAGCTTGCAAAAAACGACGTCTGCACTAGTAAGT